TCTAACATTTAATTTGGAATTTAATGTATGATGATGAATATGATTAATTATTATTAAATAGAGATTCAGGAGCGGCAGTTTTGTTAAAAGATAGCATGTCATCTTGAATGTAAGAAGTTTGCACTGCTGCTGTACTGTAGATGTAACCCACACTCCTAGGCTACGTCTACACTGGCGTGATCTTGCGCAAAAACTCTTTAGCGCAAGAGTTCTTGCATTAAAGTAGTTGCTCAAGAGGGCGTCTACACTGGTATGTACTTTTGCGCAAGAGATGTGCTTTTGCGCAAGAGCATCCTTGCCAATGTAGACGCTCTCTTGCCAAGAAAGCTCCGATGGTTTTAACCATAGGGCTTTCTTGCGTAAGAAATTCACGTTGCCTGTCTACACTGGCCTCTTGCGCAAGAACAGTTGCGCAAAAGGGCTTATTCCTGAGCAGGAGCGTCAGAGTTCTGGCGCAAGAAGCCCTGATTTTATACATTAGAACGTCAGTTTACTTGCACAAGAACACGCGGCCAGTGTAGTCAGGCAGCAAGTTTTTGCGCAAGAGCAGCCACTTTTGCGCAAGATCACGCCAGTGTAGACACAGCCATAGAGCAAGAGTCTAAATTCGCACCAGTTAAAATTAGGAAATCAGGAGTAATCAATGGAAATACGCCACAGGTGTTAGGAGAGCAGAATCAGAACCTCTCCATTGCCAGAGGTTTACAATGTTATGAAATCCTACCGTTTTTCATCGGGTCATGTAATGTTTTGCCCTTTTTGAAGTGTGACAGACTGCTGGCTAAGCCAGAGCTCTGCCACAGTAGCCTGGCTGAAGAGGCTGAGGGTAAACAGCTGAGCATGCCCAGGCCTGAAGGGCTATTAGAAGCAGCTGTGGGCCTCATTAGCCAGAGGGCTATATAAGGCAGAGGAAGTGCACCAGCAGGAGGAGCAAAGAGCCAGGGTGTGGCTGAGTGTACTCCCAGACAGCCTGAGGAGCTGGCTGAGTTTGCTGTAAGCTTTGCAAATGAATAGAAGGTGGTGGGAAGTGAAAATAAAAGTCACTGGACACACACAGATCTAATTCAATTTTCTGCCTCCGGAGAGACAGAGCACAGACCAGCCTGTTAGATTAAATGAAAGTGGAGCCCTCACTGTAATGCACAGCACTGAGGTGGCTTTGTAATAAAACCAGAATACGTTTATTAACAAAGGGCAGAGATTGAAGTGATACTAAGCAAGAGAAAAGGAGACAGGCCTGGTTACACAAAATACACTTTCTAATGACTAGAACATCATCTTAAAAAGTGACGGGTTTTGCCTATGTGGTTTTTGTAACTTGATGTAGGTGCTAGCCTTCCTAGCCTTTCATATGAGGAGAATCCACTTTCACAGGCTCCAAGGATGCTGTACCCTTTCTCCCCTTGGGGATGGATCCGTAAAAGGCCTTTTTTGCTCCCCTTTTATCACTCTTAAGTTCCTTGTCTCTGCCTCAAAAGCCAGGAAGGTTTCCTGGGGTGTAGATTCTGTGTTTCCCCCCCCCCCCAACCGTATGATTATAAAACGGTCTTCTGCCCGCTCATCTAACTTGATGGCTTTGTTCTTCCATTGTCCTCTGCCTGTGACCAAGCTGGTCAGGCAGGTAAATACACATTCCTTTTTCTAGAGCAGGCTGGATTTAGATCATTCACTTCAAGAACATATTTCCAGCATACATCTATAGCTCTCTGTACTCACTCAGTGATGGTTTCAGGGACCAGTGTATCACCAGTTTATATCATAGAATCATAGTGCTGGAAGGGATCTCGAGAGGTCATCAAGTCCAGTCCCCTGCCCTCATGGCAGGACCAACCACTGTCTAGATCATCCCTGACAGGTGTCTGTCTAACCTGCTCTTAAATATCTCCAGTGACGGAGATTCCACAACCTCCCTAGGCAATTTATTCACCATCCTGACAGGAAGTTTTTCCCAATGTCTGACCTAAACCTCCCTTGCTGCAGTTTAAGCCCATTGCTTCTTGTCCTATCCTCAGAGGCCAAGGAGAACAATTTTTCTCCCTCTTCCTTGTAACATCCTTTTAGGTACTTGAAAATTGCTATCATGTCCCCTCTCAGTCTTCTCTTTTCTAAACTAAACAAGCCCCGTTCTTTCAGTCTTCCCTCATGGCGCGTGTTTTCTAGATATGTGATACCTTACCTCTGTGGCAGTGTGTTGGGGCAACGAGTATGTGAGGCCTGAGGTGAGTTATAGGATGAGGGCCCCATGCCAGTTGGCCTCAAAGGTTTCCCAGGGTCACACCCATGTGGACTGACCACAGAACTGGAGTCCTGTGTGCACACGATCGGTGTGACTCGCATCCACACCTACATCGGAAAGCTTCCCATTGATCCCTCTGTGTAGACATAACCTAAGGCTGTGCACTGGGAACCTGCGTACCACGCCCACAAGCGGCCAGAGCCGTGTGTCAATGGTTTGCTGCTGGTGAAGCAGATGGTGTATCTTGGTGCTGGGCGACTTGGTGCTGATTATCTCTGGGCGGGATCGGTGTGACTCGCATCCACACCTACATCGGAAAGCTTCCCATTGATCCCTCTGTGTAGACATAACCTAAGGCTGTGCACTGGGAACCTGCGTACCACGCCCACAAGCGGCCAGAGCCGTGTGTCAATGGTTTGCTGCTGGTGAAGCAGATGGTGTATCTTGGTGCTGGGCGACTTGGTGCTGATTATCTCTGGGCGGCTTTATCAGTCTCCTCACGCCTGCAGGGGATCAGCAGTGCAGGGGACTCCGTTATTTTCTGCGAAAACAAAGACATGCAAAGCATCCGGGCAGCCCATGCTGACCCAGGGTTGTTCGGCAGGGGTGTTTTGGAGCCATTTCCGCCCTAAATTCTGCCTCGTCTGTCATAACTCCCCAGAGCCCCAGCTCTGCACGGTCCAGCGGCCCCTGAAACGGGAGTTTCCCAGCACGCCAGCGACGGGCCGGCTCCTGATGGCTGGATTGCAGACCTGAGGTTAAACCTGGCTAACGGGCAGCACAAGCAAAGCAATGGCTCCCAGCGGGGTCAGCCCCAGGAGTCTTGGTGCCCCTGGATCCACTCCCTTTGCAGAGTATTTCTGGGGGCTGCACAGCGCCCCTTAGAGCTGCCATCAGGCACCATGTGCCCAGGGCCGGGGGCTGCACAGCGCCTCTTAGAGCTGCCATCAGGCACCTCGCGCCCAATTGCAGCTGTAAGGTGCGCAGCGTGCCGGAGGGCCGGGCCACGCATGCGCCATGCGCCCGGGGGCAGAGCCGCGCATGGGTCGCGTGCCCGCTGCCCAGGGCGCAGGAATGGCTCGAGCCAGCCCTGATTCTAGCATGTCTCCAGATGGTATCTGCCTGGGGATGACACAGTCTGCTAGAGAAGCCACTGGGGCCACAGTGCAGCTGTCTAGGCCATGGCAGCTAAGGCTGGGAGCTCCCTAGGGGACAGGCTTCAGCAGCCTGCAAAAGGGGACTAGTTTCCGCCCTGGGAAATCCCCCTCTGGGGGGCATCTCACTATCCCCCCTGGCTGAGTCTCTCCCTGAAAAGAGAAACACCATAATGCTGGTGCACCAGAGTGAGGAGAGGCAGATCAGGGCAGGATGACATGCCCAGGAAGCAGCTTGTCAGAAGACACTGTCAGTTCTTGCCCCTCTAGAGTGTTGGACAATGGTTCCTCTAATGATCTTTTCCATCCATGTGCGGAATAAATTTCTATGTGCATCAAGACATGTGTGAACATGCACCACCAGTAGTTACAAAACCTTGCTGTGGGTGCTCTGCTACTCAGCTGGGTGGCATTTGAATCTCTCCTGAGTGGCCACACAAATGCACAGCTTACAAGGGACACTGGTTGCTGGAATCCATAGGAATCACCTTTGGGACTGCCGGTGGGTGCTTTGGAAAAGCTGTGTGTGTTTGGGGAAGAGAAGGCTTCTACCAGTGTTGGAAGGAGGCTATTTTCATCATATTTATCTACTTCTTTCAAATTCTAGTTATTGACTGTGTCTATCATTGGTATCTTTACCATTTTAATAATAATAATTCCATTGTTATGAATTATATTAAAGTCCTTGCAGTCACCTACAAGCTATAAGAACATAAGAACGGCCATACTGGGTCAGACCAAAGGTCCATCCAGCCCAGTACCCTGTCTGCCGACAGTGGCCAATGCCGGGTGCCCCAGAGGGAGTGAACCGAACAGGTAATGATCAAGCGATCTCTCTCCTGCCATCCATCTCCACCCTCTGACAAACAGAGGCTGGGGACACCATTCCTTACCCATCCTGGCTAATAGCCATTAATGGACTTAACCTCCATGAATTTATCTAGTTCTCTTTTAAACCCTGTTATAGTCCTAGACTTCACAACCTCCTTAGGCAAGGAGTTCCACAGGTTGACTATGCGCTGTGTGGAGAACTTCCTTTTATTTGTTTTAAACCGTTGCCTATCTTCACTAACGTCCCAGTTTAAAGACATTACATCCCACTGTAGCTTTCAGGATGAGACTGTCAGCAATCTTATTCATGTCTAGTTCCCTGGTATGGTCTCGATGCACGTTACGGGCAGCTGCGCTGTCCAGTTGCATTGATGTCTGGAGATCATTTTTACGTCTTCTGGGGCTGGGGAATGGGGGGGGTCCCCATTTCAGGATGGTACCAGCCCAGTTTCTGACTGGACATCTGGCAACTCTAGCACACCTGGCTTGGGAATACCTTGTACTCCCCTGAATACATAACTTATCCTTTAGATTTAGGCATCTCACTTCAGGCAGCTGTGTTTGGAAATGGGCCTATCTGGATTTCGGCTCCATTTTAAGCATTGGAGCAACATCCCCTTAGTCCATCTCTTTCTCTTCCTAACTCTACCGCTCCCCAGGAATACCAAAGAAGACAAGTTACCAGGGTGTCT